ATAAAAAACTGATTTTTTTCCTCCACAAAAAATGACTTTCGTTGAATAAAATAACAATATATTGAAACAAAATGCGCACTTCTTAGAAGAAAAACTAAAGGATTATAAAAACACAACAGATAAGCCACCAACGAAAAATGAACCGAACAAAACAGAATCCAGTCAAATTCTAAAAAAAACGTATACACCTGCAAGTTTTTTACCTAGTGAGGAATCCCCAGCAGTCCAAGGAATTGTAAACAAACATGATTTACCTGAACTAACAGGGATGCCTAGTAAGATCAAATTAGAACAAGTGAGTTTGATGAATGAAATCATATATCAAGGGGAAACTACTGGTATCGCTGGCCGTGATGGTGGTGATGGAAAAAAATTTGTACGGCCTAAGAGTAGAAACAGTCGACGCCATAACAACATAAATAGAAAATCAGGAAATCCAACTAAATATATTGACATTAGTGAAGATAAAACCGACTTCACAGGGGCAAATACGAAAGATGGTTATACCTATACAGAGTAACCAGAAACGTAAACGACACCCAAATAAAAAAGTTCATATCAAAAAAGCTTCACCCGGAGGAAACAGGAGGTGAAGAAAATAGTGATGTCACAGTTCAAGAGCTTCAAACATATTCAAACCAACTGAAATGTTTCATGGTTGGGGCTGATTTCTACCACAAAGAAAAATTATATACACCAGAATTTTGGCCCAGAGGAGTAGGTTTCAAGAGATTTGACTTCAGGCGCTATAGGCAGTATACGGATGCTCAAAGGAATAGCATAATTTTTTTATAGATAGCAAAAGCAAAAATATTGATGATAGGAACGAAGGAAAAGTAAACTTCATTTTATATACAAATATGCAAAGTATAAGGAGCAAGCAGAGTTTGCTCGAAGTACAGCTTTCTGTCCAGCAACCAATGTTTTTGTCAGTTACAAAATCATGGTTGAAGGACTTTGAAGTAAGTAATTTTTCAATTGATGAATATAACCTTGCGAGTGCTTACTGTCGCGGTATGTACAAGGGTGGTGGTACTGCCCTGTGGGCAAAACAAGAACTTTTGACAACTCCTTCAAATATTTAAATATTAACAACCTAAGTATTGAAAAAGTTTTCGAATGTTGTGGATGTGTATTTGAAACTCATAAAATAGTTACAATTTATAGATCACCAACAGAAAACATCCATTCATTCTACCAGAAACTTCAGGGAATGTTACACCAAATATTTAGCATAAACTCACTTTTATGGGTCTTAGAGGTGATTTTAATATAGATTTCAAAATCTTATCACATGAACGAGAGGAACTACTTGATATATTTGCACAATACGGCCTTCATAGTATTGTTTATCAGGCTACAAGAATATCATCAAGTTCTAATACAAAAATTGACAATATTTTTAATAACGCTGAAGCACGTACATATGTTATGGATAACCATAACATATGTACTGATCATAGTACAATAATTGTTAAAATCAACTCACATAAGTTATGCTGTAAACATATTGAAGAGGTCAATTGTTTCAAAGACTATTGCAATGAAAATAAAATACTCTTTGCCCAAATTTTACAAAATGAATTTCGGCGCGATACATATGATGCACTATACTGCAATGAAAAATATAAAAAATTGTCGAATACATTACAAAGTCATTTCTTTGGGACATTTCCAATGAAGAATAAAATCCTCAAAAATGTCCCAAAATCGTGGATAACCGATGAAATCAAAAGGTCGAGTGTACAGTTGAAAGATCTGTATATTCTTCAGAAGAATTACCCTATTTTGAAAGGTCAATATCAAATACAAAAACGAAAACACCATAATATTGTGGAAACTTGTAAAAGAAATCATTATAACCAATTAATTCAATTATCTGAAAATAAAAATAAAACCTCCTGGACAGTTTTTCATAGGTGCTCCCAAACCGGTTATAGACGATATACCACAGGTTGAAAGTAACAACTTTGATCATAGCCTCAACAGAAATCTTACTTCAATGGTTGTACTTTCTTTCACCGAGGAATAAATGCTGAATATATTCTCTTAACTCAAAAATAAATGTCCGTCTGGACCTGATGACTTACCTAACAATATAATGAAAGAATTCAAAAATTATTTGGTGAAACCTATAACTCACTTAATAAACTTTTCACTAGAAACAGGCATATTTCCCGACGCTCTCAAAATAGTGAAAGTGATTCTTATCTTCGTAATGAACTCTCTTTGCTCCTTATAGCATTTTAAAGTACATGTATTGTTTGCCTAGTCCGAATTGATGAAATACACCACGAAAAATTGTCAACCACTTTCAAACAAGTCTCATCAGTGATGAGTGGTTAAACTGAGGATGCATCGTTGAACTTGTCTATTGCTGAAATACATTTGTCCTTACAATTATATCATCTATGAGTTCAACAGATGACTCAAATCACGAATATCAATGATGTACAAGACTTCTGGAACGATCTGTTGCAAAGCTAAGCTTCAACATCGATCGCTCAAAGAACAAGCCTCAGTGAAAAAAGGCGATGACATCTCTTCTTATGAAAATGCTTTCACTCCAAATCAATTCAATTCAACTTCTTCAGCGACAGCAGACAATGAATTACACATTGTCAGGTCATTGTAGTGGATGTTTTGTTATATTTACTTTCATATGAGCTATTTTAATTTTCTTGAATCATTGTATTGAAACTTATCGAGTCATTGTAGTGGATGTTTTGTTGTGTTATATTAACTTTTTTGAACTTTGAACTTTGAACCTTGTTGAATCATTTTATTGAAACTCACCGAGCCAAAAGGCCGTCGAGAAGGCGAATCCGGGAATATCGTAGGCCAGCCTCAATATGTACATGAAGAAGAAAGGCAGCCAACACGCTATGAAAGACCCCATGATAAGCCCCAAAATCAGCGTAGCTCTCTTCTCTTTCTTCCGAGCTAGCCTTCGTTTTTCACGTTCTGGGTCCCTGGGTTTTTGCACTCGCGGCACAATATGTTCTAGTACCACTTTTTCACTAGGCGAGGACACTTTCTGAGACGTCTTCTCCTCAGTTTTGCTACGATTTTTGGTATTTTTACTACGGCCGAAAATCGGCTTACAGAGTCTCAACTTCAGAGGTTTCACTGCTGTACATTGGGCCACCACGCCCGAGTCGGAGCTGCTCGGGTCGAACTCGCTAACCATGTCTGTGTCGATGCCCATCGACGGCTGACGGCTCCTGGCAAACGCTGCTGCTTGTTGTTGAAGCTCACCGTTTACGGACAACGTTGAACCGCGAAATTGACACTGCGCCAGGGGATTCCGCATCACCTGAGGTACACCTGCACTGAACACCTGAAACACAGAAGAAAATATTTTTTTGTTTCTATTGAAAGTACTGAACAGAGAGAGTGTGGTGTATTGAGATTGAATGGGCGATGAAACCAATCAATCGACTCGTTAGTGTCCCGCAATGATACATAAGGTACCATTTTGGATATGTCGCTTCACACTCACGCTTCAGCAAGAGAAAATATGCTTATTATATTGTGTTAGTTGATTGTATACCGAAATTCAATTCTTTCAAGCAATCGAAACACCCTATCTTCGGCAGCAGGGCTATATAGCTCCTTCCCAGCCTGCTAACGAAGTGGTAGAAGTGGCAGTTCTACCAGCCGTTGGCACGGCTGGAGAGGAGACACGCATCACGCATCATGCCACCAATGGAGTCAATCAGAAAACGCAGGGCGCTCCACAGAATAAGGCCCCTGAAGCCACGAAAACTGGCTTGTTTGGATGCGGGGGTTCTTATTGTTCTGACAGAAGCGGGCTGGCATCTAGCTAATCAATATCGCCGTGTATAGCGTCGTCCAATCGCTTTCCAAATCGAAAGGACAAAATCTCGGGCTTGCGATTCGGAAGATTGAACGGCAAGTACACTAAATGGAGGCTAAGATCACGTCGAAGAGACAACACGCGTCTCGTATCCAATGTGTGATGGATTACAGGGCGGCCAACAGGCCTTTCACGCCTGCAGTGCGGCTAATAGCCACCAAACTTCGACGTATCCATTAAACTTCAAGCCAATGCGTGCTGCTGACCACCCACAGCACTGCCTTGATAGGATAAGAATGCTAGTGGCTGCTAAGAAGTCACTTAGTGGGGCGAGCGAGAAGTATAGCGGAAAACCTTAGGTACCGCGAGAAATATTCTCGCTTATTCCAAGAGTATCCACGTGTTGTGAATAATCCGCCGACCGTTGATCAGGTGGAATCCTTCTGGAAAGATACCTATGAACACCCGCAGTCACTCAACTCAGACACTCCAGTCCTAGCGCAGTTCGAAGCTTTCAACAGAGAGCTTCGACAGCCTGAGCTCAATGAACTGCGCAATCCGACAACCCCAGATGACGTTCGAAGAGCCCTTGTGGTTTCCAAGAACTTTGCTACTCCAGACCCAGATGGGCTGAACACATATTGGTGGAAAAACTAACAAGCACCCACCGCCATCTTGCCAGAGTTTTCAACTCATGGCTGGACAAAGAGCAGCCGATTCCGGATTGGTTTGTCGAGGAGCGGACCGCTCCCATCCCCAAAAGCGGAGATTTGTCGATTCTTAAGAATTACAGACCGATAAGATGCTTGAATCCGTGTTATAAGTTGTTCACAACCATCTTATACACACGAATACTCACCGCAGTTGACCGAGTGTTCAAACGGATATATGAGCAGAGAGGGTCGAAAAGAGAAGTAGGGGAACCTGCTCATTGATAGGTGTGTAACGCAGGACTCGATAAAATATGAGCGTAACCTCTCTATGGCCCTGATCGATTGCCATAGGGTATTTGATACAATATCGCATGAGCTCATCTTTCATTTGCTCAGATGCCTTGCGGTACCTGACAAAATAGTGAGATGCATTGAACAACTAATACCACTTTGACGAACTCACTTCACCATAATATCTGGTCTAGCCAGAGTCCAAACAGGGTGGGTCACTTTCAGAAGGGGTGTATTTCAAGACGATTCCCTCAGTCCTTTTCTTTTCTGCATCTCACTATTGCCGTTATTTGTTGCACTCAGAAATATCCGAGGGTATAACTGTGGCACCCTGGAAACTGGAGGCACAAGGTCACCATTTATTTTATCTAGATGATCCTGAACTTTATGCCTCTGGAGGAAAGGGTCTCCATCAATCCTTGAAGGAGGTGGGAGAGTACACGCATGCTTTCGGTATGAAATTCGGGATGGACAAATGTGCAATGGTCCATCTCAAGAGAGGACGATGATGGGACTTCCTGGAGGATGTGCAGCTCGTAGATGAAAGCATCCTACACCATTTGGATGCCTGAGAGACCAACACTTACCTCGGGGTGGAACAACGCCACTCACAAGAGGAAACAGCAGTGAAGAAGTAAGTATCAGCCCAAACTTTGACAAATCTCGTCATCAAAACTGTTGTCATCAAAGCAACAAAGTTGCTGCACCAAATATGCTTGCCATTCCAATCTTTCTCTACTCGTTTGGAGTAGTGAAGTGGAGGAGCTGCATCAACTCGACGTAAAGATCCGAAAAATGAGGTATCTCTATAGGAGTTTGCATTCCAACCGTTTCACGGTTGTACTTCCCCCGACAACAGGGAAGCTGTGAACTTTTGAATTCGAAGTGTGACAGACTGGTAATGGATATAGCCCGTAAAGTCGTCAGGAATTCAGATCCCCTTTTCTGCATGGTCCGTGACCATGAGAAAGCATTTCTCTTTAGGGCAGCTGCCCGAGCACCTGATGAACTCGAATAAGAATGAGCCAATGCATGGGGTCTACTTCAATAACATTGGAGATCTTGGCTTATCAAAGCGCCTGACGTTCGCTATTTTCTCAGGTCAAGTGGGCTGAAGTCGGGAACTGAGGGATTCATCATGTCTTGCCAGGGGACTTCGGGGGATAGGGCCTGACCAGCGCACACTACGGGAAAAAGAAAATAATAATACATCTTCATTGACCATAAAAAGTAAAATTGAAACAGACGAAAACAAAAAACTCAGTATGAAGGTGAATAGGCGGAGTATCATTTTTAACTCAACCTGGGAATAGCAATAATTAAATAACAATAACAAAAAAGTCGAGTTAACAGTGATACTGTGATGATGAGATCAGGAAACTAGTTGATGTCACCGCTGTAAAAAATTATTTTTTGTATTTCCAAGGTCGGGGACAAGAGACTAGACAGTTAAGAATGTTTTTGGAGCCACCTCTCCATTATGCTCATGTGACAATTTTCTTTAGCGGATATAAATCACATCCCATTCACATGTACCAACTTCGAGCTGTATCGGACGGATTTCTTAAATAATTTGCTTTTCTTGAATGTTTCGTTTTCAATCAATATAACAGTCTTTTTACCTAAAGACAATGAAAAAATATACAACATAATTCTAACATTCGTAATTGAATCTAAAATATCAGTATGAATCGTAGTAACACGATTGGTTCGACAATTTTGTGGCAAATTTAACTCCGGTTTGATGTCAAGGGGAGGGGGTTAAAAAAAAAATTTTAGACTTCTTTGAAGTTTTTTATTTTATACGATCAAAACTCACAGGATAGTTGATTATAATAATTGGGTGCATTATATGAAAAGTAACGGGTGAAGATAGAAGATTTGTGTTTGAGGATGACCAAAACTGAACTGTTCCGTGAAGTGACAAAACACTATTTTGTATAGAAAACACACTTTCAGATGAAAATAACAAATTGAAGTGTTTTTTTGAATACGTTATAATGGATTTCCATCAAGTATTGGCCAGTTCTATCATATTTGTGAAACTATTAATTGATGAGAATGTTCTAAGCTCCTTCAGATTGAAGAGATAGTAAAACTTTATGTGTGTTAGTGAGTATATGCAGCGCAGCGTTCTAAATCATAACAATCCTGATTCTTGCATGGCTGAGGATATATGGTCGTATTTCCGAATATCAAAAGCAATGAGAAATTATTGACATGATCAGTGACTCGCATAATCTAAGTTTTAACCAAATCACGATTTAGAAACAGCTGCCTGAGAAACTTATAAAAAGTTCATTTCAGATAGCTGACATGTTAAGGAAAGCGAAGTTTTGGCTCAAACCATAATCCTGAATTTTTTATCTCGGTCACAGAGGGAAGTATTTCATTTTCGATGCGGACTTGAAATGTTCATGTGGAAGTAGTTGTTTTGAGGGGCTTGTTTTTCCAGTTTTGTTGCGGATTCATTCTGAATTCAATTATTTTTCTCTTCCTTTAGAAGTTTTACATATTCTTTTCGTGAAACAATGGGGAAGTTTGGAATCAAAAAGCTTTTTTTCTGAACAAGGCCAAAAAGTGTCCCAAAGGGAGCAAATTATGTTCGCTTAATACTTCTTGAGAGAATTGTTGATGAATATTTTCCAAATCAAACTTTTGCATTGAATATATCTGTTTGAAATATTTACAGCTGATGATTCCATAAGATTATATCAATAAAAACAATGCCTGATAAACAACGGAAATCATATTTCAGCCGAAAAGTTTTTTATTGTCCTGAATTCACATTTTTTATTAATCAAATGAGTTGATAGATAATTTTATATTAGATTTTGGTCAATATTGTTTTCGATATTTCATATTTTCCTCCCGGTAAAGTTTGTATAGCAGAATCACATAAAAGCAATGAATTGTCTGCTTCATTTTCTAGGCACCCCTGTTTTTAAATAATAGATCTTCTCAGAGATTACCTGATTTGGTGATTTTATAATTTACATGGAAAATTAATTTATATTCATTGAAATTGAGACTGAACAGATCGACATCCACTTGTTTAAGACAATTAAACATTTCAGCTTTTGATAGTGCCTCATTTCATGACCTGCCACGACGGTATCATCAACATAGTGATATATGCAGCCCTGAACTTTATTAGAAGTGGTGGAACTCACTCGATCTCAACAAATGATTCCCTTACTTCTTCGAAGAATAGCTTTCAAGCAGTTTCAGATACACATCTACACCAATTTATAGTTTCATAACTTATTCAGTAGTGTCGACTATTGCGATAAACGTTATCAAAAGCAATGATGCATCGGAGGAAGTGTCCTGATTGTCCTCAAAGCAGATAATACAGAGTTGGTTTGGGCCTCCAGTTTTGATTGAAGATGTTATTGAATCGTTTTCTAATTGCTGAGAATTTCATATGGCGTCATTTTAAAAATCGACGTCTCAGGGGCTTCGTTCAAAGCCCGAAAGACTTTATGTTATCGCCATTGAAGTCTTTTCGTATCTTCTTTATATCTATGATTCATCAATAAAATCAAATACGTTTGCAGAATTATGGAAGGAAGC